TCGCGTATAAGATTACCGAATTACCGTTTAAAATTGCATAGGAGTTACTTGCGTTTTTTTTTCGTTTTCGAATTGAGGTCCCCTACCGTTTGATTACCGTTTTTCATGTTACCGATAATTTGAATTTATTATCGACTCTTTGACATTTATTATTATCTCGATAACCTTGTGTGGTGAAGATTTTATTTTTTTCTTTCTCCTTCTCTATTTCGTTTGGAATTTAGGTCGTCTGCCGTTCGATTATTGTCCTTGCCGTTACCGAAGATCTGATTTGTTTTATGTGCTACCGTTATTTAGCGTTATTCCGATAGTTTTGTGTGGTGAAAATTATTTTAAAATTTGATTTTTTGTTATGATCATACCGCTGGTGGCTCTTTATTAGGAATCGAAGGAGACAACATAATAATATTATTAAAGGCTGCTTGACTGTTCTGTTGTCGACAACGAGAGAGACTTGTCTTAAATTTTGAATTTTTTGTTTGTTTGTTTGTTATGATCTTTAGGCTTTTCGCGTTTCCCGTATCGTTTGAACTTTTGAATTTTGTTTTATTTTTCTATACCGTTATTATTATTGGCTTTATTATTTTTTTTAGATCTTTCCTCCTACCGTATTGTTTGACGATTTTGAATTTCCTTTCTCTTATATGTTATTATTTTGATTTCTGAACTTCTTTTTCTTATATCGTATTGTTTGGACGTTTGAATTTTCGCTTCCGTGCGGTTATTATTATTTTTCTTTTTCTGTTTCTTTACCGCACTGCTTTGATTTTTAAATTTTTCTTTTTCTTTTTATCGTATCATTTTGATTTTTGAATTTTATTTTCCTTCTACCCTATTACCTTGACTTTTAGAATTTCTTTTACTTTTACCGTATAATTCTTATTTAAAATTTGTTTTTTGTGTCATTTCCCTTTCTCTTTACCGTTTTGATTTGGAATCCGTCCTTTTATCGTATTATTTCGATTTTTAAAGAATTTTTTTTTACTTTTGACTTCCGTTAATTAGTAAATCTCTCGTTGTCTCTATGAGGAAGGATAGCGATCCACATCAGTGGATACAAGGGTTAAGCGTCGGTCAAGCGCGTCGCCACTTGTTAGATCGGGGCCTGAGTGCCCAGGGGATATTGCCGGTTTTACGGGCACGGCTCCTCAGGTACGAGACGCGCGGGAGCGGGGAAACGGAAGAGGGGGAAGAGACAATGTCCGTAGAGGACCAAGATGGTGCGGGGGCGCGAGACCTCTTAGGGGAGGGTGGCAGGCCGGACCTGCGGGGCACACCACCCTTGGGGGGGCAGGAGGTGAAGCGGGACGACATGACCCGAGATACCGGATACCGTCCGCCCCAACGCGAGTCCGCGGCCGCGTCACAGGCGAGTTCCCGTCCGGGGAGGGCCTCAACAGCGGAGGCGTATAATTTAATGAGAAAATGGAACCTCCATTTCTCAGGAAAACGCGGTAACGACGCGGAAGCCTTCCTGTTAAGAATTAAGGAGGCTCGCGCGATAGTCCCCATCTCAGACGCCGACCTTTTTAAGTGCCTACCTCTCTTCTTATCGGAAATCGCGTTGTATTGGGTGCGATTGGAAAGCGGGAACTGGCGGGACTGGAACGATTTTGAGGCGGCATGGAGGGGCCGATTCGGGGATCCCGATTATCAATACGCTCTTCGCGATGAAATTTTCAGGCGGACACAGGGGGAATATGAAACCGCGGCCGATTATTTGACCTGTTTGCGGGCTTTACTGAGTCGAATGACGCCCCCCTGGCCCTTGGAAGAACAATTGAATTTCGCACACCGGAATATGTTACCGCGTATGCAGATAGCTATTCGACGTCAAGAGTTCAGAGACTTCGCGACTCTAGAGTATCTGGCTACGCGCATCGAAAGAAGCCTTCAAGCGAAGAAAAACTACCGACCCCCGCTACCGCCGGAACAATCTATCTTTCCGGATTTGGCCTACCACGCGCCGAAGGGTAAGGCAAAGAACGCTGCTACCGTTGCTACCGCTAACGCTACCGCTAAAAAGAAAGAACGAAAGAAATCCGCGAAAACCCCTAGCGTGAATACCGCATCGACTGATACCGCTACCGCTGCCGCTGCCGTTGCCGCTACCGAACCCTCGACGAGTGCTACCGTTATCCCCAATCCCGCCAGCAATATAAAATGCTGGAACTGCGATAAGACAGGACACCGCGCGCGCGGATGTACCGAGCCACGCCGGAAATATTGTTACCGCTGCGGGAAACGCGAGGTTACCGTCCAGACTTGCCCGACCTGCTCGGGAAACGAGAACCGGAGCCAGTAGAGAGGGTCCCTACGACTCCGAGTCCCGAAAGCGAGACCCCAGATGCCGCACCAGATACCGCAGGGAATGATACCGTACTCCATTCATATGTCACCTTAGAAAGGGACGAGTTACCGTCGTTGAGATTTTTCCGGATTAAAATATACAATTACACTCTCGCGGCCCTCGTGGACTCGGGGTCCAACCGCACTCTACTGGACCGTGAAGGGATAAAGATTATCCGAGAATTAGGATTGGATACTGAGAGGGGAAGGGGGATACAAATAAGAACAGCGAATGGACAAATCGCAAATATAAGGGAAGAGATTAAGGTACCGTTAGAACTAGAGGACCAGTGTCACGAAGTTACCGTTGCGTTGTTACCGAATTTAGCAGTTCCGTGTATTCTGGGATTAGACTTTCTTACGAAATTCGGAGTAACATTAGACTTCGCCACTAACGGATGGTATTTTGCCGAATCACCACACAAGAGATACCGCCTAGCTACCGAGGTAGATCCAAATGAGAGTTCTTGTTGCGGGATATCGGAATTGACGTCCACACAGGAAGAAACGTTAGATTTTTTTTTACAGACGTTACCGCAAACGTCCGATAACCCCGGTGTGACAACGCTTACCGAACATAAGATAGATGTAGGTGATAGTCCGCCAATTAAACAGCGTTGTTACCTTGTATCGCCTAAGGTTCAGGAAGCCATACGGGCGGAGACTGATAAAATGCTCCAGGCAGGGATTATCGAACCGTCTTATAGCGAATGGTCGAACCCCATCGTAATGGTAAAAAAACCTAACGGGAAATACCGCTTTTGTCTGGATTTCCGAAAAGTTAATAACGTATCTAAAAAAGACGCGTATCCGTTACCGAAAATGAATGGGATTCTCGACAAATTACGTTCGGCTCGCTATATATCGACCATTGATCTGAGTCAAGCCTACTTTCAGATACCGTTAGCTGCAGATAGTCGGGAGGTTACCGCATTTAGTGTTCCCGGGAAGGGACTTTTCCATTTTACGCGAATGCCATACGGGCTTACGGGAGCACCGGCTACGTTTCAACGGTTATTAGACCGATTAATAGGGCCGGAAATGGAGCCACACGCGTTCGCATATTTGGATGATATAGTGATAGTAACGCCGACGTTTGAGGAACATATGATCTGGCTTAAAAAAGTACTGGATAAAATAACTGCTGCCGGCCTGACCGTAAATCCGGATAAATGTGAATTTTGCCGTTCTCAGGTACGATACCTGGGATTTATCGTCCAGAGGGAGGGGTTAACGGTGGATCCAGAAAAGACTCGGCCAATTTTAGAGTATCCCGCACCACGAAACATCAGACAATTACGGCGGTTCTTAGGGATGTCATCCTGGTACCGCAGGTTCATTCCTCAATTCGCAACCCTTAGCGAACCACTAATGCGGCTTTTGAAGAAAGGCAAGCGCTGGGAGTGGGGGGATGATCAAGGCCGCGCTTTCGATCAAATCAGGGACCACTTAGTTACCGCACCGACACTAGCTTGTCCGGATTTTGAGTTACCGTTTACATTACATACCGATGCAAGTTCCGTGGGTTTAGGCGCGGTATTGACTCAGATCATCGAGGACGAGGAAAGGGTGATAGCTTTTGCGAGTCGAGCTTTATCAGATCCCGTTATTCCGTTACCGAACAAGAGTGTTTAGCAGTCGTATGGGCAATCCAGAAGTTTAGACCATACTTAGAGGGATACCGTTTTACCGTTGTTACCGATCATAGTAGTTTACGTTGGCTTCATAACCTTAAGAACCCCACAGGGAGATTAGCAAGGTGGGCGCTCGAATTATTAGAATATGATTACGAGGTGATTCACCGGAAGGGTGCCCTACACCATGTGCCCGACGCACTCTCCCGAATGTTTGAAGCGGAGGTTACCGAAGATACCGTACAGGCCGCGACCAATTCCGTTCACATGACGGCCGCAATAGATACCGTAGACCTGGCGAACACTACCGACGAATGGTACCGGAAAAGATACAAAGAAGTTTTGGCGACCCCCGAAAAATACACGCAATGGAAAGTGATTGAGGAGCGACTATACTTTCTCCGGCCGAAACGCGTAGTTTCCGAAATCGTGGAAGACTTAGACCGATGGAAGTTAGTGATACCGAAAGAATACCGAAGGGAAGTCTTAAAAGAGTCGCACGATATGCCACAGGCAGGCCACTTGGGTACCGAAAAAACTTACCAGCGTATTGCCGTTTCATATTTCTGGCCGAATTTATTTCGCGAAGTTACCGAGTACATCCGACAATGTGATACCTGCCAGCGAACGAAAGTAGAACAAGCAAGCCCCGCGGGTCTTATGGGACGTCGTATCGCGGATGGGCCATGGACGGCAATAGCGGCCGACATTATAGGCCCGTTACCGCGAAGTAAGGCTGGGTTCCAATATCTCTTGGTAATCCAAGACCTTTTTACAAAATGGGTGGAATGTAAATCCTTAAGAGCCGCGACAGGTCCGAAAATTAGTGAGGCCATAGACGACCTAGTGATTTCGCGATGGGGAGCTCCTAAATTTCTGTTAACGGATAACGGTACCGAGTTTATTAACAAGGTTATGAAGGTGTTTGCTGACGATCGATAGAATACACACACTACCGTACCCCCATACCACCCCCAGGCCAATCCAGTAGAACGCGTAAACCGCATCCTAAAAACGATGATTATCGCGTTCATCGAAAAGGATCACAGGGAGTGGGATGAACACATCGCGGATTTCCGGTTCGCATACAATACCGCCTGTCATTCCTCTTTGGGAGCATCTCCCGCTTTTCTGAACCTTGGGCGTGAATTAGAGCCCGCACATTCAGTGAAACGCCGGCAAGGGGTTACCGAAATCGAGCAGGGGGATACCGCTAATTGGGCGACTCGCATGAAGAACATGCAAACCCTACGGGAATGGGTTATTGAGAACTTAGATAGAGCATACGAGAGACAAGCTTCCCGTTACAACTTGCGTAGGCGGGGTCGCACATTCAAGATAGGAGACCTGGTATTACGACGCCAACACATTTTATCGTCAGCGGCACAGAATATAGCCGCAAAGTTAGCACACAAGTTCCAGGATCCGTTTAAGATAGTGCGGGTGATCTCTCCGGTGGTCTACGAGTTGGGATCGCTGGGCGGGTCATCCGCAGGTAAGAGCCACATACAGAACCTGAAGCCTTATAACATTTCTGATACCGTTTAGATGCCGCGCAGCACTATGGATCGCCGTGCAATGCGAGGGATCTGGCGGGCCTTCTGGTCGCGCCACAGGTCCGTCTGGGAGCACATCGAATTTAACGATGAGGGCTTCTGGACGGACCTGGAGGACGTGGCCCGCCAGGTTCAAGCGGCCCGATATACAACGGAGGGGGCCTTCGTGCGCGACTGGCCGTCCGTTAGGGACACCGCGGCACAGACGGCGTCCTACCCGGGGGTCCACCAGGGGACCCAGACCGTGCCCGGTCACGGGGTCCACCGGGACACCCAAACCGGCCCTGCGGAGCCGACCGGGGAAGCGGCGCCTGGGCGACGAACCCGGTCGCTAGAGCGTCCGGATGGGCGGGGATTGGACCCCCAGCCACCCGAGTCATCCGCCGGGCGCCAGCCGCAGCGCAGGCCGTACAGTGTCGGGTGCTGGAACTGCGGTTCCACCCGGCACTCGTACGCGGAGTGCCCCCTGCCCCGCACAGGTAGCTTCTGCTACGGTTGCGGACAGCGGGGGGTAACTCTGCGCGGCTGCGGGCGCTGCGGCGGCGCATATCGGCGCGCGACGCCGTACACCGCGGGGCGAGGACCAAGGGCGCCCCGAACCCCATCATCGCCACCGCTGGACAACCCGCTCCAGGACGGATGGCCCTGGGCCAGGGACGTGGGGGGCGAGTGGACGGGGCCATCTCGTCCCTAAAGACTCTGGTGTTTTTTTTTAAGTTACCGTTTCTTTTTTGTTAGTTTTTTTTTGGTTACCGTTTTCTTTTTTTTTGTTAATTTAATTAGTTGGAGTTTAGTACCTAAGATAGCTTTAGGTTAGTTGATATTCTAGTCTGTAAGTTTTGTTCTTTCCTTCCTGAATATTCTAGTTTGTAAGTTCCGTTTCGGTCTTTTCTTTTTCTTTTGTACATTCCGTTTCTTTCATTTTGGTTTTGTTGTTCTCTTCGTCTAATAAAATGTTCCATTTTCGTTTCTTTTCTCTCTTTCTTTCTCGTAATAAGGGAGTCGACCTTGAAGAAGGTGACCATAAAGTAAATTGGGTACCGCGCTCTAAGTTCGATTAAGCCCCTTTACCGTTTCCTACTCCCTCATCCCCTTACGGTTAGTAAAAGCAGAGAGATCGGGTGTGAGAAGATACCGCGAGGGTTAGAGTCGAGATCGAACCTTACGGAACGTGGAAACGTGCTACGGACTATCGAGCTGCGGACACCTGGAAGAAGCCTGGAGGAAAGAATAACCGCCTTATCGCAAGACTGAAGGGGAAGCTGCCTGAGCGACGGTCATCGGTGTGCCGGGTTCCGAAGTCCCCTCGGCACCCGTCTGGGAAGGGGGAGTTGTGACGTGACGCTTTGTGAGCTCCGTCACCATTGCCCTGTCGAGGGGTAACAGCGTGCGCGGGGTCGTTACTCGCGCCTGAGAGGGAATTTAAATATAAATTTATTCATATTTTTAAGATTTATTTTAGCTTTAATGTAAGATCCGCGAATAAAGTGCGGCGGCTGTGCGAGCGTGCGTTATCTCCTTTGTACATGAAGATACAGCAAGATACCGGAAGGAGAGGGAGCCGTATAGGAAGATACCGGATATACCGCAGAAGATACCGAAGATACCGCAAGAAAACAAAAGGTCATGTAATGAGATCCCGTACCGTAGCTATGCTTAATTCTGCAGGAGATTAAATCTGCATTATTTCAGATTAAAAGACGGCAGAACACCCGGACGACGGGGCGGAAGACAACCTCCCAGGCGGCCGACTGGGGAATAAAGAAGATTCCGAAAAAGACGAGGATACGGCCTGGCCAGCCGGTCCCGTCTCCAAGAATTAGAGATACCGTCGCCCGTGGGTTCTGGGCCCCTGCATAAGGGCAACGCCGTTCAACAGCTATGACTCGGGAGGGGGCGGAGAATCAATCCCCGTTCATCCGAAATTGACGACATGCGCGGAAGATCGGCGCGGGATCCGAGGACCTCACGGAAGCACTTGAAATTCGTCACTGTGCGGTGAGTCGCGAGCCGACGAGGACGATCCCACGACTAAAGGGCGAACATTGACTGGACGATCGACGTGGAAGCCGCCACGGAAAACTGTAAGCCGCCGCACGGGCAGTCTTTTGATTTTCTCTCCCGGAAACAGCTGGCGTCAATTCCGTATACCGTCGCAGGGCGACGGCCTTCTCGCACTATCGTCGAAGAAAGCCTGTGTGCTTATCTCGCGTTAGTTACCGGACGCCAACTGACACCGGGGGACGCGGATTTGTCCCTCTCGGGGTGTCCGTACCGCCAGTCACGTGTCGTACCGTAAAATTCTGTACCGTCCCGTATCGTCAAATTTTGTATCGTGCCGTTTTAATATCGTTAGGGTACCGTTGCGATCCGTGCCGAGCTTAAGTCCTAGCGTGACGTGGCAATTTTGGGCAGTTTCGTATCGTGTACCGAAAAGCGGGATTTACGCGAAAAATTTCTTCGCGAGCGTGTGTTACCGTAAATGAACAATTTGCTCTGCAAGAATATTTGTTACCGCGAAATCTCCGCTGAATCATCTTCTTGTTATCGATTATTCGAGAATTCTATTGTTCGACTTAGAGTCTTTGTTGCCGAGTACACAAGGTCGCGATAAGACCGTTAAATAAAATAAACAGTTCCACCTAAACATCCTTACCGCTACCGTTTTCCGAAGCCTTGCATTTTTCTGCCAAAAATCTACCGTTAAATATTATTGCCGATTACCGTATCGAAAAATCGATTCGAGATATATCGAAATTTTTGGAGAGACGTGTGCCGTGGAAGCGATACTACCAGAATACTCGATTATTGTACTTATCCGTTACTTTTGAAGAGTTGTATCGCAAATTACCGTTAAAAAGTAGATTTAGTTTCGTTCGATTAATATCGAGATTCGCGCGAGGCTCGTGCCCCGACCTGTGTTCCGAAGTCGTACGTGTTGATTGTACGCCGACCGCGAGGCTTATCCTATAGTAGATTACCGCTAATTACCGTGAATTATTGTAAACAATACCGTTCAATTTTTCATCGAAATCTTGCAGCGGGTCTCACGACTCCGGCCGTGTTCGGAAATTTGACTGAGTATTGGGTCTCGCGTATTAAAGAGTACCCCGCTGTAAATTATCATTTGAGCTTCCGCATCGCGATTTGTGAGATATTATACATCACTTTATTATCGCTTTCATCGTTGTATTATAGTCACACATTTTGAATAGACCGTTTTCGTTATCACTGACCTTCGCGTCAGCCGTTACAAGTCAAGTCCTTTGTCTTTCAAACTCGGATCTTCGATTGTTTATATTCCGAGATTTATCTGTTCGTTCTTAGTTTGTTTTTTTTGATACCGAAAGTTATACATTATATTGATCTTATCTTTGTTATACCGTTTACTATCTGTACCATTATTGTTTAATATATTTAGATAATTATAAGTAAAATAACCGACTGTCGATTATTTCTCTCTCCTCAATACTGTCTAGCGCTCTCTCTCTCGACATCTAATCCACAGAGAACCCTGTCCCTCTGCCAAATACTGAGCCCGGGATTACCGGATCTTGCCGTTACCGTATCATTATCGTGGCGCGGAAATACCGCGCCTGGCGCCCATATTCTATCTCCTTTTTTGTGGGAGATTCTGTTACCGTACGTTACCGCCATTTTGAGATACCGTTACCGCCATTTTAAGATCCCGATACCGCCAATTACTGACACCGCCAAATTTGCACGCCACCTCCTCGGGAGCGGCGTTCCCGAGGCGGGCGACGGCGTCGCAGTATTTAAAATTAAAATTAAAATGTAAAATATAAAAATATAAAATTTAATCCGAAATATTATAGAGTGCCCATAGCTCATCAAAATTTACATAACAATCGTTATTATGATTTCTACTTAGATCTCCATTCAGATTATTTTGTTCTCCATTCTGATCTCCATTCAGATTTTTCATCTCTCCTGAAACATTCTCCTACAAAAAATCACCCAAAAAATAATTACTTGAATATTTTAAATTAATTTCATAATTATATTAGCAAAAATTATCCGTTACCTGTACATTCTCTTCTGTTGTTTTTTCTTTTCATATGCATACTTTTTGTATATAATTTCAGGCGGACATTTACATTTACGAGATTGACGTTGTGTACAATACCGCATTATATATAATAATTTATGATGATTACCAGCAATGCATTTTCTAAAATCATCATATTCAATATCATGATAAAAATCATTCCAGATTATTAAATCTATATACGTTTGGTTTATGCCCGTTGGGATACGTATATTTATACACGGCGTGTATGTACAGTCATTGATACACCTATCTACCCAACTGTAATCGACATTTTTATATAGGTATATAAATATGGTCTTCATATTCGAATATTTGATCGCAATTATTGCGGCTAATACATTGGTATTGCCAACCATCTTCTGAGTCTATGATTCGAGTAATTTTACGTTTATTACCGGAATAAGAGTAATCGTTATTGTCTACATCAATTGAGTAGTGTGTCTTCTGAATTTCACGAAAAATTTTCACTTGCACATGATCGGGCCATTCGATATACCCATTCTCGTACATATTAACCTCGGCTTGACGAAACGTTGCTTACGCATACCTCGTATGCCTAATTCTCGATCGCGCACATATTGTGTTATCGATATCTGTTTAGTGTTCGATTTTTCCACAGCACTATTATTGTCTCGGAAAAGGTTGATTATGTGCCTCCATTCGTCTATACGTATTTGCAGCTCCATTGTTATAATATTATTTTATATCCTATAGTCCACACCAACTGTGGACCATACGAACATGTTCCATACGAACGACCATACGAACATGTTCCATACGAACAACACCACTTTTAATATTCGTAATATTCTTCTTCTCTCGATCAGAACTCGGAGACGACTGATTGATCCATGGTTTTTTCTCTATGCTTCGAAGGGTCACACTAGTGTAGCGATTGCACAACGACATACGTTAAACAT